CCCCCCCTGCCTACTTCGTATATAAGCAGCACCTTCCACATCCTATCACCACAGCTACTGCTCTCCGCAGCTATTCAACTGCTCTGAAGATGGAGGCGCTACGTTCCTCCGAAACGTCGGCCAAAACGAAGAATACACGGTGCCTAAACCCAGAAGACAACTTTCTTCATTGTCATCGCCGTGAAAACCTCAAAACTTACAAACTGTTAAGTTCTTTGATATTAACAATAAGTGTGAAGAGTAATGTAATGTTCTGCATAACAGTGGACACATCTATTTATTGCTTATCTTTTTCATTACTTTAGGCTACACTCTTGAATGCCTCTGTTTAGTATTATATAGGGAACTGGTTCTTCATGATTTTATCATTTGCCAACAGTGTCACCTTATTTGAAGACATTGTCAATGGTGGCCAGCGTAAAACTGTTGCATTTGTTGGAAGCGTTCAGTACTCCATGGTTCCTGTTCTCATCTCCTACCAACCATCATCTGGTTTTCTTCCTGCTGGAAATCTTTAATAATATTATTCAGTATCAGTTTGATGGTAAGTAATTGTAATTCTTTGCGTGGGTTTCCATTATGTCATATTGTAACGTTTATAAAAGTAACTTAGAATGGAGGGCCGCACCACAGTTCAAGTGGTTAGTCGCTGGCTTCCCACTGCCCCAGCCCAGGTTCGATCCCAGGTCTGGTCAAGTGGGATTTGTGGTGGACAAAGTGGCACTGGGGCAGGTTTTCTCCGAGTACTTCGGTTTCCCCTGCCAATCTTCATTCTACCAATTGCTTCATAATCACCCTCACCTATCATCTAGAACTGGTACAATAGGGCTGAAGTGGCCACAGTGCAAGGGACTTAGTCCCACCCCACTGGCAATAAAAAGAAATAAAAAAACTTAGAATGGAAGACTACAAATGCCACAAGTGATGGAATTTATAGAACAATATAGAAGAGATTGAAGAAGACACAACAGAAGAAGCTTCTACAGGAATCGTGAAAGAGACTTAGAAATATTGTCTAAATGGGAAAGGAAGGTTGAGAAGACCTCTGAAATGATGGAAGGATATTGTTTATATCTGTAACAGGTCATAATAGGACTATTGCTGGAAAGGATTCTGCTGCTGATGATGATAGCAAATAAATGCATTAAAATCATCTGAAATGATTGACCATATTACAGGCATACCTCATTTATTGCACTTTGCTTTATTGTGTTTTTTTACAAATTGAAGGTTTTGTGGCAACCTGGCATTGAGCAAGTCTGTCAGTGTCCTTATTCCAACAGCATGTGCTCACTTTGTGTCTGTCACACTTTGGTAATTCTCACAACTGTGCTCATATAAGTCAGAGAATTTAATCGATTAATGTTGTGTGTGGTCTGAATTGAAGAGTCAGTCGATTCGGCCAACTTTATCATTGTCTTATTGTGATAAATTGCCACAGCCACCCCAGCCTTCAGTAACTACCACTCTGATCAGTCAGCAGTCAACAGCATCGAGGCAAGACTTTCCTTCAGCAAAAAAGGTTATGACTTGCTGAAAGCTCAGATGATGGTTAGCATTTTTTAGCAATAAAGTTTATTTTGATTAAGGTATGTACATTGTTCTGTTTTAGACAATGCTATTGCACACTTAATAAACCACAGTATAGTATAAACAACTTTTATATGCACTGAGAAACCAAAAAATTGTGTGATTTGCTTTATTGCGATATTTGCTTTATTATGTTGATCTGGAACTGAACCTGCAAAATCTCAGGTATGTCTGTATAGTTGGGTTAAAAACCAATGTTCTGTGTATTATTCTGTCTACTTCACCAGCATTGAAGTGAGGAGTGATCATAAACTGCTGATATATATAGTAAACACCCAGTTTTCCGGTATGTTGGTATCCAGGATTCTCCCACTGTAGATCTGGTTGCATGCTGCTAAACTGAGTCCATCTGTTGACTAGCTTCTAATATATTGTCACGTGTTGGCTGTGTGATTCGACAAATAACTTCACGCCGGTCTTGGATCTAGCGAATTTATTGCACACTTTTATCCACACTTAACACAATTCACAATTTCAGTGTCCCAGTTACTTCTTCTGCTATAGTCACTTCCAGACAAAACTGTCTCCGGCGGCTGCTATATTTCAACTGAACTCTCTGTCCAAGTCCAAGTCACATTGTGACTGACGGTCAGTCAGTCAGTCAGTCAGTCAGTAAGTCTTGGTGTCGAGTTCCATCGGGGGCTCATGGCCAGATATTTATTAGTGTTTGGCATTTACGGTCTTGTTTTTGTGGGGCGCCCTCTCTGACAAGAGGACGGGTCTGCCTTTTGTATATGCTGCTTTCCCTTGCCAGTGCAGTCTTTCTCAGATCTGAGCCCCAATTACTGTCTTAGATTTGAGACTTCCCTTTTCATCACCTCTTATGACTCACGGGGTCACGGTGGAGGTGTTTGACCTCTCCTCCGCACGGGCATCTCGTAGCTGAACTGTCTGGTGCATTGAACCCTCTTACATAGGCCTCTCGCGGACCACACCGAAAACAGCCTGTGTTATTGGACATGTTTACCGACCGATTGCCTAGCAACGGTCGCTGCACAGACTCCACTGTTGCGTGACATCACAGCGTAGCGGGAAGGATTGTTTATTGAGTGTTGCATAGTGCTGGGATGAGTGGGGATATGTGACACCACTCGCACTTCTTGTTGCACTATCCAAGTGTTCACGGAGTTGTCGCCTAGCAACACGCCGATACAATCCGCAACTCTCCCGTTGCGTGCATGCCTTGAGGCCTCTGTGGCTCAACAGTTCCTGTATAGAGCAAATATACCACAATATATACATCAAACAACTGCAGATACCTCAGACTCAACAGTAACTGGTCCATAATTTGGGCAGTTACGAATATTTGCAAGATGCATTTAAAATATACAAAATTTTATTAATTTACAAGGAAGTGGTTGTCTTTATAATCCTGCAGATATTAAAAATAATGCATTATATATTTCTTTTATGTCATTTACTCACATTTTATAAACTAAACTTAACTCATTTCCAGGAAATTCCAATTTAGTATACATGATCCTTCACCAGCGGCAAGTGTTCCATTCTCTCGCAAACCTTCCATGTGACTATGGAACTATTGCTAGGTCTCTCACTAAACGTACAAGACGTCACCTACCAAGCACAACATCTTCAGAAAATGTAGGGGAGTTACCAAGCATGGAAGGTTCTCATCCAGCTTTGGCAGCAGAACCTGGAACTCTGAAGGCAACCCTGCCAGACACCCCAGGTATTTTAATGAGAATGGCATTGTCATATGGAAAATGTTTTAATGTATGTACCTATATCTCTTATAACTATACTGTCAGGTGCTCAGGGTGTGTAGTGTAGAATGCCAGAATGATTAATAAATTGGAAATTATATGCAGGGAAGCAAACATGGCTTAACTTGGGAAGCTTTCCTGGCTTTCTCCTCAAAAAACAGTAAAACCAAGGAGATCTCAGTCATGATAACTGGTTCCTGGGCAAAGAGTTTAGCCCAAGAATTCCAGAATATGAAGTAGGCCTGCTACCCACTCAACAGTGATATTAACTGGAAACTTTCTAAAAGTTCAGAAAGCTGGCACAATTTCTGGTCGTACATGAATCATCAAGGTTCTCCATAGTTGCTGTTGATAAGGAAATCTAAATCGATCTATAAAAATTAATAATGCTATCTTCTGGAATATGCTTGCTCAGCGTACTTTTTCCATGAAGATGGAGGTAGTATTATCCTCTGAAATTTGGGTCAACTTCTGTTTGCAACCTACTTCATGTTGATTTCTTGCTTGGCTCATTGTTTGACCCTGAAGATGGAGGCAGCGTGTTCCTCCGAAATGTCAGTTGACTTTCAACAGGCCACACTCATAACCACCAATGTGAGAGCCTCTAATTCTGTTTAAAAAGGTCATTTCATTTCTTGCCAGGCATTGAAAAAATGACTGAGAAGGAATCAGCCCATCCTTCAGTCCATCAGCTTTGTGAGCTAACTGCGGCAGCAACGGTGAATGGCGTAAATTCCAATGATCCTCCCCCCCTTCAGCAATCTTCCATACCTCCATTAGCCTCACAGCAAACATTAACAAACAGTTCAAGTGAGAGCAGTGTGAGGCTAGGCGACGGAGAAGAGTTGCCCAGGTCAAAGAGTATGGTAAGTGTGGGCATGCATTCTTAACAGCTAATCTTACTGTCGACTCAGATATGTAGGTTATGTCATACCCTTCTAAACAAACTGAAATATTGATAAATTGTAACATCTTGGGTGAATGTCATTGTGAGATAGAGTTATGGATCAGTGATCATTAGAAAGTTACTGGATCCTATTTGCAGCTTATTGTGACAAGAGAAGCCACCCACTGCTAGGCAAGGACCAGTAAATACATTTCCACTACAAGCAGAACATGCTACTGGGGCGACAGAATGCAAAAATAGAGGAATTGTTCACGATGGTGTTCTCTGTGTGGTTCAAGAATAACTGATATGACAGTGCCAGTAGCAATTAGGAGTAAATCAGATTTAGGAGCAGAGACAGTAAAGTGACGATTAGTTGAGGAAAAAGACAGCGGAGTTAATTGCACTTTGATCACATAGTTTTTCTTGTCATTAGACGATGCATGTGGCTATCTGTTGCTAGTCCTTGGGCACGTGTAGATACATTTGCTGTTTGTTTATTCATAGTGAAGCTCTGCGAACTGCTAGTTTATGGAGAAAAATGAATAACCTGACAGGTAAGCCAGTAACAGAGTTGATGGTTGTTAAAATTATAAGATTGTGGTTTTCTTGATTATGACACTTGTACCCTAAAGATTGAGACAGCAGGTTCCTCGAAAATATTGGTAACCACCTACAGAACTACACTGTTTCTGTGTACGTAAAGTACTGGTATGAGAATATTCTACTTCAGCATTATCTCTCTGGCTGAGTAGGAGCTGTGACACTGGATATGTGGATTGGCAGCTGCTGGGTGTATGTGATGTTGCAGTGAACTGTATATTGCATAGTGCAGATTGTCTCTCTGAATATTTTGAAGGAGGTGGCGTCATTATGTAAGAAATTAAACCAGTCATTTGAGATTAATAGGAGGATAACATTCCTGTGAAGTTATGCAGTGTTCTAATATGTACTTCCTACATTTTTTTTCTTCCAGCCTATCACAAGTCCAGATTCTCCAACACCATCCATTCACTCAGCAAACAGTTCACGTGCGACTAATGCAAGCAGACGTAAGACTTCAGAATCTTCAGTTGCCAGTCTACAGAGATCTGTAGCACAGGTAGTGCAATACTTGACATAAAATTCTCACATGTGGGGCTAAAATCATAATATTCTGCATAGCTTTCTGTTCCACATACGGTTATGTTACATAATGGACAAACTCCATTGAGCATAGTTCGTCCTGAGAATGTAATATTTGCTCAGTTGTTCAGGAAATTCACAGCACGTTCATAATGTCTTCACAAGAGCCAATCACTGATCCCTTTCCTTCAGGGTTTCCTAACATAACTTTGTTTGTAACCCCCAAACACCTTGCCCCATGCATGCTACATTCCCTGCCAATCTTATCCTCCTTGATTTGATCATCCTAACAACTGGTGAAGAGTACAGATCGCTAACTTGCTTAATCCTTGCCACTATGGTCCTCTAAGAACCTTGGTCTCCTTTACTTCAGATGCTAATTCTTCTCGACTATTTTCCCTTTGCCGCCTCTTCTTCATTGTCAGCTTTCATACATCATTCTCTGTATGATCCAGCCATCTCAGTCTGGACTCTCCAACTTTGACTGAACTGAGTACACTGCAAACAGCAATAACCTTTCTGAGTTGTTTCCATAAATTTTCCTTGTGATCTCATTAGGTTTCTCAGCACATGTTAATTTATGAGGTGAGGTCATTAGCAATAAGCCAGGAGAAGGACAAGGGATTACCTTTCATCAGGACTGAGTGTAACACACCAGCTTCTGATCAATGTTAGATACCTATAAGGAGGTTAGTCTAGAAATGATTGCAGAAGGAACCAAGTATATGCAGAATGCAGAACATGATATTAATACAGAAAAAGATAATAAATTGTTTGAAATTCAGTGTTATTCATGTAAATTTATAATATTCATTCAGGATTTAAATGTTACATTTCATGAATAGTGTTAAGATATATCAGCAAAAAGGTAAGTAAAAGAATGCTTGACATAAAGACCCAGCTGATTAGTGTAGTGGTAATGCTGTTTGGGAGGTGGTTAGTTTGAATCTCAGCTGGGATATGAACTACCATGACATGGTTTTTGTGGTTTTGCTCAGTTTTTCAGGCAAGTGCTGGGGCATCACCCCAGTTAGACCATGACTGCTTCCTTCCAAATCTTGTGCAGTTCATTATTCACTAATCTTCCTATAATTTGACCTTATGTAGTCTCAGATAGTGTTGTAAAATAAGAAATTGAAGGAGTGCGTACTATTTCACGGAGGTGTCCTATAGAGAACCCGAATGATACACATTAAACTTTTAATAATGTGAAGGTGAAATTAATTTTTATTATCTCACTACAAGATATTGAACCTGTAGGAAGTTAACGTGGCACCTGGTGTGGTATGTAAACTCACAAATAATGCATTTTGGTCAGAAGACTAGTACCTTCTGAATTCTGTTTTGCAGTTACAATTTTTTTGTCATATCCATGAGTATGCTAATCACACATCTTGTTTTTTTTTTATATTGTCCCACGGTTCCAGCTGGTTGGTTAAGGATTGAAGAAATGTTTGAGATTTCAGCTTTCAATCATTCTTGTACTGTTATAACAAAACTCGGCCCTCAAGGGAGGCATTTTTTTTTCTGAGCAGCCTGTTACCAGCACAGTGTTTTGTTGTTCCTTGTTATCAGCAAGAATAGAAGGAAATGAAGTGCATGATGGCTTGTTTTATGACACAGTATTTAGACTTTATATTGCTGAATGGCAGGATTACTAATGAATGGTGAATTTGAAAAGCTTTGGAAGGGAGCATTGGTCTTGGTCTAATCAAAGTACTATCTCAGTATTTGTCACCAAAATCTTTTAGGATATCCGCTGTCCTGGCCATGTACAAGTGTAGAATGTTACCGCTACACCAGCCAGTGAGTTCCCTTGTTCATAACTTTAAGGAAGTTGTGTCATCAGTTTTTAGCATGTAAGTGTATTCCCCTCCCTGCTGTTCCCAATTTCATCTCTGCTTCTGTTCTGGATTTTGTTTTAGAAGGTATGATCACTCTATCTGTGAGCTATAATTTTCACAGAATATGTTTAAATTTCTTAGTGAAGTTGGGTTTGGTCATTATAATGTAACTAATCTGTTATATATTTTGTTTTTTCTTAGATTTACAAATAGATGTCGAAATGAGCATATGTGGTATAAATAGTACTTTTGTGTAATGCTGTGCTTGTACTTTTTAATGGTCCTCTTGTTTAAGCGTTTTTTTAATTTATCTTAATTTTTTGCATATTGTATTTTCTTTTGAGTTTTCCATTCTTCTGTTTTGTTATGTGTTGCATTCCATACCCTTATTGCTTCCGTAGCGTCAGAGTATTCGGCTGACGGAAGCACATTCTCTCGCTCAGGGGAGTGGCATTGGATCTCCCGTTGGAATGATGGGAGCTGGAGGACAGTGGATACCTACATCAGAGTGGGTCAGTTCATGGAAGACAAAACTACCGTTGCAAACGATCATGAGGCTTTTGCAAGTTCTTGTACCTCAGGTGGAGAAAATATGTATTGACCAGTAAGTACTGAGATATCAAGTTGGCTTAAATTTTAATGGACATACCATGCAATGTGACTCAGGTTTTGAGAGCTGAGGATGTGAAGATTACCATCTTCTGGGATGTTACCATACGTATTAGTAACTATAGATGGGTCTTTTTTTTCTAATTAGCTTAGTGGGGGCTGTGGAGTCCAGCTGGGTCCACTCGGCAAGGCGGCCACTGATTGGCCTATTGTAACCTGCCCTGGGTGATTATGATGATGGAGAATTTGGTGGAATGAAGATTGGCAAGGGAAACCGAATTTCCCCAGATGATCAATAGAAGGAATACGTCACTAACTTGTGATTTGGGGTTTATGAAGCTGTATGTACATTTCTAAATGCATGAGTGTGGTTTCTGAGAAGCTTCTGTACCCTTTCTACACATTCAAAATAAAAAACAGTTGCAGAAAGCTCTCTTGAGCTTCCAGGTACATATGCAAATGCAAAATACTAGAATGGTATGACAACCTATAAGATCATACTTTTCATAGCGGTGTGAGAACCTCATATCCAGAGTTCGCACCATAGCTCAGGCAGTTAGTCGTTGGCTTCCCACCATGGGAGCCTGATTTCGAGCCCAGATCTGGTCATGTGGATTTATGGCAAACAAAGTGGCACTGGGGCAGGTTTTCTCCTAGTATGTCGGTTTCCCCTGCCAACCTTTATTCCCACATTTGCTCCATAATCACCATCATCTATTCTCAGGGGCTGGTACAGTAGGCCAGTAGTGGCTGCAGTATGAAGTGCACTCAGTCTGATGTCATATCCAGTGTTGGAAGTGTCATGTTTTGTCAATGATATGATGTCTGTATGCATGTTGTTACAGTGACTAACAGCTTTGGAAAATGGCGCAGATAGTATACTGACATTGAATAAAACAAAACTCCGTGGCCTTTAGTCTGCAAACGAACTAACTGACTGAGTGACTGCTGCTTGTCAGCAAAGTTATTGCCAACTTTTGCAGATAGAAGGTGTCGCGTGGTCAGTGCAACGAATCCTCACTGTCGTTAATATCGGTTTTCTAGACCAGAGCCACTACTTTTCTATTCAAGTAGCTCCTCAGTTACCCTCACAAGGCTGAGTGGACCCCGTTCCAGACCCACTAGTTCTCAGAAAACCTGGTAGTGCTGGCAATCGAAACCAGGACCTCTGGATCTGTAGCCAGGAACTCTGTACTATGTCTTTACATGGCATGTGTGTGCAGTAAACTGGTATACTGTGAAGCTCTGTAATATTCCAACTTCCTTATATGGCCTTTGTTCATAATTCAGTTCTTTCTATGTAGTTTGAATTTACAGTATGATTTTATGAATATCCTATATACCAGACAGCACATGGGGTTGAATCCAAAATCCTCTCATCACTAGATGTGTATGTTTATCAGTGGACAGCCAGTGTGGCTCTGTAACTCTGTTGTTTTTACTCAACACGCGAACTATACCGACTGAGTGACTGGCGCTTGTCAGTGAAGTTAGTGCCTACAGTGTAGCTCTATAATCTAGGGTATTTAAAAGTTTAACTTCTATATTTACTACCACTGGTATCATTAAAACACAAAGGTATGAAATTCATTCTGTTTGCAGTTTTTGATTTTGTTGTACATACAAGTTCAGCTGTTGGCAGGAACTTGTGCTGTGTAGTTAATTTTGGTTTTTCTGTAATGTGATGTGTATAGTTTTATAAGGAGCCTCCGTCTTCTAGATAGAAGAGAAAAGAACATCCCTTCTAAACATTAATTTGCATAGTGGGGGGTGGAGTCCAGTTGGGTCCACTCTGCACAGCAGCCACTGATTGGCCTATTGTGTCTGCCCCAGTTGATTATGATGATGGAGAATTTGGTGGAATGAAGATTGGTAGGGGAAACTGAAGTACTCGGAGAAAACCTACCCCAGTGCCACTTTGTCTACCACAGATCCCACTTGACCAGACCCGGGTTTGACCCGGGCCACCATGGTGGGAAGCCAGCGACTAACTGCTTGAGCTATGGCACGGCCTTCCCTCCTAAACATCGGTACTTCTTTAGCAAATTGCACTGCTTCAAATTCTAGGCTTGAATACTGCTGTGAGAACCTGAAGTCTCATGTGGCTGAGTATTTTTAACATGATTGAGCTTGATTAAAAATTTGACAGACTAGTTCAAGAGAGTTATAGTCAGAAACTTACATAATTAAAGTAGTTACTATAGGATTCTGACGATGGTGTATAACACGTAGAGATATTGGGTTTTCGGACTTCATCCATCGTCCTGGTTTTAAGATAACTAAAAAAAACACGACGTTTCGGAAACTGGATCTGTTTCTGTCCTCAGGTGAGGGTCCAGTGGTTGAGGCTAGCTCTTTCTAAGGGACCCAACAGAATAGGTGTTTTCCTTCACCTGAGGATGGAAACAGATCCAGTTTTCGAAACATCGTGTTTTTCTTAGTTATCTTAAAACCAGGATGATGGATAAAGTCCGAAAACCCAATGTCTCTATGTAACATGATTTAGTTTGTAATTTCACTATATTTTATTTGTAATTTGCTCATGAATGTATTGACTCTAGAGTATACTTTCTAGGTGTGTGTCAAAGGAAAGTGAAGTTCTCAAGTTTCTTCAGCATGGTACATTAGTGGGTCTGTTGCCGGTACCCCACCCCATTCTCATTCGGAAGTACCAAGCAAACTCTGGGACTACAACATGGTTCCGTACATACATGTGGGGTGTTATCTATCTCAGGTAAATATTACTTGAATCTACTATTTTTTAAAATAATTTTCCCCAAGTTAACTCAAGTAATTATACTTCTAAATTTTATTTAGAGGAGTGCCCGGTTCCAGTTTCAGCCAAAACTTCAACTGTTCTAACTGTGGCCTTTTTATGATTTCTTTCTGTCGGCCTAGGTAGATGTCAGAATCGTACCTTTAGCTAAGTCATGGCTGCTTCCTTCTACATTGTTTCCTGTTCATCATTCACTGAACATCCTACAGTTTGATGCTATATTGACTGAACATCTGACAGCATCAATAAATAAACAATAAATACAATTTAGAAGAATTTGCATATGAGTCTATAAATCCGTTATGGTAACCATACATGAATACCAAAATTAGTCTTTATAGAGACTGCATCAGACTTGTAAGCACAGTAAGGATATACAGGTACTATGTTTCTGGACATTATTCATCATGTTTTTATTTAAAACAAAATTTTAGAGACTGGATTCTTATTCCGTCTTCAGGTAAAACCTACTCTATTGGTCCCAATCGATAGAGCTGAACGAACGAACGAACGAACAAGGGGTGGGCCTTCTCGGGCCTTGCACTGCGACCACAGTGTTCTGTTGTGCTTCCCCTTTTGATTGTCCCCTCAGCAATCCTGCACTTCATTCGAAGCGCAGGATTTTGTACGTGGGGGCATCAAAATAGTCAATTGGTTCCATAAAGTATTGACCCAAGTGACGTAATCTTAAATAAGTTAAGGCCTCACATTCACACAGGATATGTGTGGCTGTTTCATTTTCTTCTTGACACCTCTCACAAGTGGGACTATCACTTAGTCCCAGTTTGAAGAGGTGTCCTTTGAGGTGGCAGTGTCCTGCAAGTAGTCCGAGCACCCATCGTAGCTGGCTCCAGTTCAACTTCAACAGTTCCTTCGCTCGTTTAGCAGAGGGTCCTGATATGAGTCCCTTTGTTTTCCTGAGTCCAGTCAAGGATCCCCAGTATTTCTTGTGATTCATATTTGTCCAGTCCCTAATTGCCTTCTTGGCAACTCCTATAGAGATGCCACAGGCTGGTTCAGGTCCTAAGGATGGATGTTCAGCTCCAGTCTTAGCTAATTGGTCGGCTAATCGATAGATCTAGTCCATGTCAATAATTCTATTGATTGGCCCCAACTGAGTAGGTTTTACCTGAGAACAGAGACAGACTCCAGTCTCTGAAACATTATGTTTTAAATAAAAACAGACAATGGATAATGTACAGAAACATGATATTTGTATCAATGTACCATCATCACAAACTTTTAAACCTTATTTAGAGTAAGGAAGCATTGGTTCCCCAAAGAGGTAGGAATTTTAGGTCAGCTTAGTGACTTGACAGTTTCATAAGGACTTTGCTCCATGTGGTTTGTTGTAGCAATTTATGACAGATGTTTGATGTTGGAGCTGTATTCATTCTGAAAGATGAAGTTGTATTATACAATTTTATACTTTTTTCTTTGTAGGAATGTTGATCCTCCAATATGGTACGACACTGATGTCAAACTGTTTGAAATTCAGCGAGTGTGAATTTGAGGTATTCAGAGTGGATATAATGTCTTGTTGATCTCAACATTGCAGTATAGTGTGAAGAAGTTGAGCAGTTTCCCTGCTCTTGATAAATTTAACTGTATTCCACCCCGTTTATTTGCTTGCTGATAAATCTGCATTTAGATCAGAGCTGTCCAACTGTATGTACATGGGTCAGATGCAGTGAGCCCGGTTGTGAAGCCCAAAGACAAGTTTCCGTGATGTACAAGTTGTTAGTGTGTGGATATTGGTATGCTGTTCCCATGATATGTATATTTATGTAATCATACAATATGGCTTATGTGTGTTTTCCTTCTTTTCTTTTTTTTGTCTGGGTGTGCATACTTTTGGTGTGCTCTACACTGCTGTGGTTCAATGTAGATTGTTTGGAGATGATGGTGGTCATAGAAACTTGTCTTTGGGCTCCACAGCCAGGCTTACTGCATAGAAAACGTCTACTGTAAGACCTACAAACAACATACATGCCCAGTTTTTCTACACTGTAGCAGTGAAACCTGAAATATTTAAGTTGACATACACATTCTTAACCTATCATCGGAAATCCTTTAATATTTTTTAAACATTTTTAATATACTTTTAATAGTTTTGAATAATATATTCAACATATTATAAATGTTGATATATGACATACCTTTATATTTATCTCTTGTTTATGTATTTGCTACTTTAATTATAACAATCACTTGAGGCAAAAGTTTTATGTTAGTATATAACATGACATGTTGCACCAATAATGATCCATATTGATATTTCAGTGACTATACATATTCCTGTGTATAACTGCCTGATGATGGTCTTATGTGACCGAAACATGTAGCAGAAATAAAGATTGAAATTAAAACTGAGTTTTGTTGTGTTGATGGTAGTCATAATTCTTATATATATCTAAAACACATCAGGATGCAACCAATGAAGGTCAACACAAGATATAAGCAATTATCTCGTTACCACCTTTGTGTCAGTTGAGTTTATTAACTATGTTAAAATTACGTGACATGTTTTGGCTCACTTGGAGCCATCATCAGGTGATACATTATTTAAAGCTATAGAATACTGAATTGTAATTATGATTATTTTGGATCCATATTACAGTTATGTTATAAAATTATTTATAAAATAATATATAAGATATTTTAATTTAATTTAAAGTTACATCTTTATCTGCACAGGTGGACTCAGTTTTATATTGTGGTTGTATTAAATCTTCATAATATTTCCTAAGATATGTTTTAATGCTTTCCTCCTCGTCAAAAGAACAAAACAGCGGATCTTGTAAAAAAGAAATAACTATATAAGAAGTGCTTATTAAAATAGTTTGTGTACTTTTTGTTTTTATACCTAATAAATAACTTAGAATATGAAATTAGCGTGACTCCATGATAATATGCAATGTTGATACAATCTGGCAAGCCTATAGCAGCTAATTTTTAAGCACCAGCAATCTGACAACGTGTAATTTAAATAAACATTTTTGAGTTTGTGGGTGCAGGCCTTATTTGCGTGCTTGCTTCTCATAGGTCTGATTATTGTAGGGCAGATATTCGCATCGGTATATTGAGAAAGAAAATACATTTTTGGAAAAAAAATCTGTTGCTGAGTATCAGAGGTGCAATATGTCTCATCAGATGTTTGAAAAGTTGAACAGCCCTGGTGTATATAATTATTATGTGTATGTTTTATGACTATATTTTGTGCTGTGTCTTCAGACATTGTAATACAGACATTCACCGCCATGCATTTGCACTGGGATTTTACCTGTGGGGCCAGCCATTTTTCCAGAACAACTGGAACTTCCTACATCCGAGAACAAATGAAAAATAATCAACATTTATGGTATATTTAAACTCTCTTTGAATGTCAAGAAACTACGAGGTTTCTCTGCATTTTGAGTGATATCTATAGGAAAAAATGACATTTATGTACACATTGACAACATCCTGTCATGTGGTGGAATCAGCATGGGCATGCAGTGAGCTTTGACCCATTAGACGATGGGATTGGCACTACATGTATTAGTAGGTTGTAATCTATGTGAGTGGAGATCCCATCAGGTTTTATAAAAAATTATTGACTTGATTTGCTTTTCCAAATACAGAGAGACTTGTAGAGGCATCTTTCTTGGAATTTAATACCTTTTATTTGTATAGGTATATACACATAAACACACATCCCCAATTACGGTTGTCCAGAAAGGTACTCTGGAGGCTGTATTTTTTTATTATACTTATTCAAAGTACAGACCACTTGAATGAAGGTTACCTCAAAACGTTTGTGCCAGTTTCAAAGTAATATAGTCCCATTTTGAAAATTAATGTGTGGTGTGGCTTACTTTGTAAGAAAGTTACACTGCACGAGACAGGTTGATCTAGCCTTAACGCTGTAGACATCTGTTTGGTAGGTGAACATTTCGAGACCTACTTAATAGTTTTCCTGCGTCCTAATATAGCACTTAAGCTTCCTGTGGCATTAATGTATCACTTATTTTCATACAATATATTTCCATCTACAGTGCAACTTATTATCACCATTCCTTCTCACAGCGGGGCATGTGGTATCATAGTTGGTTGAGGAAGTGTGCTACAAGCCAGAAGGTCATGGGTTCGAGTTCCGATGAGGTCATTTTTTTTTTTTCAATTTACGTAATAGTTCCAGCTGTAGTATGGCCCTGGGGTTGACTCAGCCCCTAACAGAAATGAGTACCAGGAATCTTCCTGGCGGGTAAAGGGCAGCGAGCACTTAAGGTTCACAACCTTACCACCACCTGTGAGCTGATTGTCTGGAAGATGTGGGAGCCTTGACCTCTTACACCCCTATGGGCCTTCATGGTTTGTTATAAGGACAGCTTTACCTTTTTTTTTTCCCCCCCTTCTCACAAGATGTTTCGGTCATATGCTGCCATTATCAGGTATCTCTAATTCACTAAAATTGTTGTACTGTATGGTATGTCCAACTTCTCATATCATATGCGAATGCAGTATCCCTTAACTTAAAATAAATTGACCATAATTAAAATAAAAAAACTAGTTAGAATGTAGTTAAGATTTCAGTATTTTGCTTGGGGTCATCATCCATTCATCCAGATGACATTGTCTGAGGTCTCCTTGTTTGGATTTATTTGCACAGCTGTGTGGGTGTTTGTGTGATATTGCGTAGTTCCTTAGTCCCTCTATGCAAATAGGATAGTAGGCTGCAGACTGCAACCACTTGCTCACCCTGGTTCCTTTCTTGTGGATTGTTCTACCCTGAAGATGGAGGTGATACGTTCCTCCAAAACATTGGTTCACACAAAATCTACACGGCATCACATCCCACAAGATGGCATTCTTCATAGTCACTGTCGTAAAAACCTCAATTCTCAATCCTATATGGTCTACATACTGGAAGTGTCATTACATTCATTCATTACGAGTAGTAATCTGTCAGACGACAGGTCCACAGTCTCTTCCAAAACAGTTCCTCCACTTGATGCGGTCTAGAGCTCTCTCCTTCAAATGAGAATATCCTCTTCTGTCCCCAAGGTCATCCAGCATCTTCTTATGTCTTCTTCCTCGTCTTCTGGTCACTTCTATCCACCCCTCTATCTTTCCTTCAATAACTTCTTTTAGAAGGCAGTTTCTGCGTAAAACATGACCAATCCAGTTAGCCTTCCGTTTTCTTATTTCGTGTAGGATATTCCTCTGCTCACTGACTCTAATTAACACTTCTTCATTTCTCACATAATCGGTCCAACTGATCTTCTCCATCCTTCTCCAACACCACATTTTGAAACTTTCCAGATGTTTCTGATCTACTGCCCTAAGTGTCCATGTTTCAGCCCCATACAGAGCTATGCTCCAAATGTAGCATTTCACTAGTTTCTTCCTCAAATTTAAGTCCAATTTGCTGGTAAAAAGATTCTTCTTCTTGCTAAATGCAGCTTTTGCCATGGCAATCCT